TAAAACGTACGGGGGAGTCTACCCTACTGTGGGGTTCTCTCCCAGGATGTCCACTAGGACACTGATGTACTAGAAGTCCGACTGTGTGTTCTAAAGCTTATTCTCTAGATCAATGTATGCTGTATATATATACTATATATATATATATATATATATATATATATATATATATATATATATATATATATATATATATATATATATATATATATATATATATATATATATATATATATATATATATATATATTACAAGCTGAGAAATTGTCCATAGCCTATCTCATTGACTTCATATCATATTATCCCACTACTATCATCTACACTACATCACTACACTATCCCGCCGCTTTTTCCATCACTGCACTATCCCCATACCACTACATCACCACTATCATCTACACTACATCACTACTATCATCTACACTACATCCACTACACTATCATCTACACTACATCCCACTACACTATCACCCTGCACCATCCACACTATCATCACCGCTACATCACTACACATCACCCACCATCCACTACACTATCATCTACACTACATCCACTACCTATCATCTACACTACATCACACTACACTATCATCTACACTACATCCACTACACTATCACCTGCACTACATCCACTACACTATCAACTAAACTACATCCACTACACGATCACCTACACTACATTCAATACATTACCATCTACACTACATCCACTACACTATCATCTACACTACATCCGCTACACTATCACCTGCACTACATCCACTACACTATCACCTGCACTACATCCACTACATTATCATCTACACTACGTCCACTACACTGTCACCTGCACTACATCCACTAGACTATCATCTACACTACATCCACTACACTATCACCTACATACACCCACTACCCTACCATCTACACTACATCCTCTACACTATCTTCTACACTACATCCATTACACTATCTTTTACACTACATCCTCTACAGTATCACCTACACTACATTCACTACACCACCATCTACACTACATCCACTACACTATCATTTACACTACATCCACTACACTATCATCTACACTACATCCACTACACTATCACCTACACTACATCCACTACACTATCACCTACACTACATCCACTAACAACTATCACCTACACTACATCCACTACACTATCATCTACACTACATCCACTACATTATCATCTACACTACATCCACTACACTATCACCTACACTACATCCACTAACAACTGTCACCTACACTACATCCACTACACTATCATCAACACTACATCCACTACACTATCACCTACACTACATCCACTACACTATCATCTACACTACATCCACTACACTATCACCTACACTACATCCACTACACTATCATCTGCACTACATCCACTACACTGTATCTCTACACCCTCGAAACTGTAGCCCTGCGTATCTTTGGGGTTAAGTTAGGTTGAGTCGAAAGGTTTATGTTTGGTTGGGTTAGGTTGGGTTAAATTACGTTAGGTTAGGTTCGGATAAATTACGTTAGTTTGGGTTTGCTTGAATTACGTGAGGTTGGGTTAGGTTAAATTACGCGAGGTTGGGTTAGGTTAAATTACGTTAGGATGAGTTAAATTACGTTAGGTTAGGTTGGGTTAAATTTCGTTAGGTTAGGATGGGTTAAATTACGTTAGGTTTGGTTAAATTACGTTATGTTGGGTTAGGTTAAATTACATTAGGTTACATTTAGTTAAGTTAGGTTAGGTTAAAGTACGTTAGATTGGGTTTGATTAAATTACGTTAGGTTATGTTAGGTTAGGTCAGATCAGATTAGGACCAAACCTATAATTCTACCTATTGATATTCTTCACCATGGAGCTCCTTATCCTGGACCTATTAGTAAACAACATGTACCGTATTATACTGGCCAGGTCACTCACTCGCCCTCACACACTCCACTACTCCACTCTACACCAGATAGGAATAAACACCAATTTTGATACACCAAATGGGAATAAATACGACCATTTTTGTTACACCAGAAGGGAATAAAAGTATGATGATTTAAACCCTTGAGTATGAATGACTAACCCTGAGGATGATGACGAACCCTGAGTAGTGATGATTTAACCCTTGGCATGATGATAACCCTTGAGTATGATGATTTAACCCCTTGAGGATGATGACAAACTCTTGAGGATGATGATTTAACCCTTGAGTATGATCATTTAACCCCTGAGTATGATAATTTAACCCTTTAGTATGATGATTTAACCCCTTGAGTATGATGATTTAACCCTTGATGATGATGATTTAACCCCTGGAGTATGTTTTAACCCTTTGGAGTATGATGATTTAACTTGAGTATGATGATTTAACCCCTGATGATGATGATTTAACCCCTTGAGTATGTTTGTCCTTGAGTATGATGATTTAACTTTGAGTATGTTGATTTAACCCTTGAGTATGATGATTTAACCCTTGAAGAGGATGATTTAACCCCAGTATGATATAAACCCTTAGTATGATGACTTGAACCTTGCGTATAATGATTTAACCTTTGAGTATGATGATTTAACCCAGTAGTATGATATAACCCTTTATATGATTTTTAACCCTTGAGGTTAACCTGAGGATGATGATAATTTTTAATCCCTTGTACGATGACTTAATCCTTTCTTGGACATGATGACTTGATACTTAAAGGGTTATGTTATCGTTTCGAGGGTTTTAAAAGTAGGTGAGAGAGAGAGAAGAGGGGTGGTGGGTGGTAGTGAATAGATGAGGTAAATGGGAGAATAAATTCGTAAAGAAGAGGATGAGGAGGAAGATAGAGAATGAGGGAACTACGCAAACCAGGGGGATGGGAGGAGGGTGGGAGTATCACTGGTTGGTGGGTCATTATTTCCTGTGATGAGCTAAAATGTTGATTACTTAATTTCAACCACTTTTGCTGTTAATTATTGCCCCATCACTGTGATCTTTATTAAAAATATATTTGATTGATGCTATTGATTTAAAGTCCTTTGTCCAGTGGTGGGTATAATGATAGGTGTGTGTGTGGGGGGGGGTTCTGTCTGGCTTGTTGTGATCTTGATGCGGTATTGGGAGGAGAAATTCAGGATTATGTTTTAAGGTCTATGGTTGTCCTTTTCTGTAGTTCATTGTTCGTTTTTTATATTAATTTTTTGTTTTCATTGAAGAGACATACCAGGTGGTCTCCCAATCTCATCCTCCCACTATTATCGACACTCAGTCCACTCGGAAATGTTTTTCACCTGGTTCCAATCTTACTAAATTTCATGTTTGTGGTAATTTGATATGATGACGTGTTTTAATTAGGAAGCTATGATGTCAGTGTTAAGATGAACACTGATCAAGAATGGTCTGTGGATTGAACCCCAGTTACTCAAGAGTACAGCAATGGTAGCTCCCAAACAGAATCTTACCAGGGGTTAAGAGTGGCAGCTTCTCTCACCAGCTTGACAAACACCATCTCTGGGGAAGACCTCTGCTCCACCCACCTGTGATCCCTGAGGTGGGACCGCACTTATCTTTCTATCTTCCCTTTGGTGGGGGGTGTGGGTGTGGGGGGGGGTGTGGGGGGGGGGGGGGGGTGTGTGTGGGTGGGGGGGGGTGTGGGGGGGGTGTGTGTGGGGGGGGTGGGGGGGGGGGGTTTGGGGGGGGGGGGGTGTGGGGTGGGGGGGGGGGGATGATGAGGAGGGAGAAGAGGTGGATGATGAAGAGGGAGGAGAAGAAGGTGGGGGGGGGTTGTTGTTGGGGGGGGGTTGTGGTGGGGGGGGGGGGGGGGGTGGTGTGGGGGGGTGGGGTGGTGGGTGGGGGGGGGGTGGATGATGAGGGAGGACTTGGAAGTGATATTCTGACTGTTGAGGAGATGAGAGGCTTGATCCTGGGCCTTTGTATTTAGCTGACATCTCAAGTATGAAGGAGGAGTTGCACTGGTCAGAAGACCTACAGCAGTGAAGTATTTTCAACTTGTTTTTTCTTTATTCCTCATCTGCAGTACTTTGTTCTCATATCTAACTAGCATCAGCACACGGCTTCCCTGTGGTTACAGTAATATTTGTTTTTTTATATAAATGTTTTCATTTTATCTCATACATATTTTCCTCTGTTGGATAACTGTATGTATGTATGGGGATATTTCTGCACTCACTACTACTACTACAGGAAGGTACTAATGCCTGGGAGATATTGGTTTTTTTTTTTTTTTTTATTACACTTACATCCTTGTGTAAGGTGAAGGCAGAACTGTTTACAGCGCCCAACAGGGAAGTATGCTGTCTATGCTTGCCTTTTATGTCTCATGAGTAAGGCGTAGCTCTAAAGAGTCAAGGGCGTAGCCTGAAGAGTCAATGGTTATGTCATCAAGTTATTGAAGCCCAAAAACTTGTCCCTGGATACGAATTTGCAACTTTCAATGGCTAAAACAGGCAATTCTACTTTTATTGTTAGGTGAATTTCAGACTACGGGGCTAGGAAGTATGTCCAACAACTTCCACCGGCCCGAGAATCGAACCTGTGACATTTTGTTTTCGGATCAGCGATTCGCCACCACTGGCCCTTGGATGGTGTCTAATGGTAAACCTGTGTATGTGGCATCACAAAATAGATCTGACTTTTATGTTTTATTTTTGGGGTTTTGTTTTGGTTTTTTTTTTTTGTTTTTTTTTTTGTTTTTTGCTGCTGCTGGTGCTGCTGCTGCTGTTGTCGTCTATGCTGCTGCTGGCTGCTGCCGCTGTTGCCGCTGTTGCTGTTCATGTTGCTGTTCATGTTGCTGCTCTGCTGCTGTTCATGCTGTTGCTGTTCATGTTGTTGCTGTTCATGTTGCTGCCCTGCTGTTGCTGTTCATGCCGCTGCTGTCTTCATGCTGCCGTTCATGCTGTTGCTTTGCTGCCGTCTATGCTGTCGCTGTTGCTGCCCATGCTGCTGTTGCTGCTGCTGTTGATGCCGTTCTGCTGCTGCTCTTGCTGTTGCTGCTCTGTTGTTGCTGTTCTGTTGCTGTTGCTGTTGTTGTTGCTGTTGCTGTTGTTGCTGTTGCTGTTGCTCATGTTGCTGCTGTTGTTGCTGTTGCTCATGTTGCTGTTGTTGCTCATGTTGTTGGTTGTTGCTGCTGTTGTTGCTCATGCTGTTGTCGCTGTTCATGCTGCTGTTGCTGCTCATGTTGCTGTTGCTCGTGTTGTTGTTGCTGCTGTTGCTGCTCATGTTGTTGCTGCTGCTGTTGCTGCTGTTGCTGTTGCTGTTGCTGCTTTTGTTGCTGCTGTTGCTGCTGTTTGCTGTTGCTGCTGTTGCTGTTGTTGCTGCTCATGCTGTTGCTGTTGCTGTTGCTGTTGCTGTTGTTGCTGCCGTTGCTGCTGTTCATGCTGTTGCTGCTGCTGCTCATGCTGCTGTTGTTGCTGTTGCTGTTGCTCTGCTGCTGCTGTTGTTGCTGGGCTGTTTGCTGTTGTTGCTCATGCTGCTGCTGCTCATGCTGCTGTTGCTGCTCATGCTGTTGCTGGTCATGTTGCTGCTGCTCATGCTGTTGCTGTTATGCTGCTGTTCATGCTGCTGCTGTTGCTTGCTGCTGCTGCTCATGCTGCTGTGTTGCTGCTGTTCATGCTGCTGTTATGCTGTTGCTCATGCTGTTCTGCTGCTGTTATGCTGCCTGCTGCTGTTGCTCATGCTGCTGCTGCTGTTGCTCATGCTGCTGCTGCTGCTGCTGCTGCTGTTGCTCATGTTGCTGCTGCTGCTGTTGCTGCCTGGCTTGCTGCTGCTGCTGTTCTGCTGCTGCTGTTGCTGTTCATGCTGCTGCTGCTGCTGCTGCTGTTGTTCATGTTGCTGCTGCTGTTGCTGTTCATGCTGCTGTTGCTGCTGCTGCTCATGCTGCTGCCCATGTTGCTGCTCATGCTGTTGCTGTCATGCTGTTGCTGTTCATGCTGTTGCTGCTGCTGCTGCTGCTGTTACTGCTGCTTATGCTGCTGCTGTTGTTGCTCATGCTGCTGTTGCTGTTCATGCTGCTGTTGCTGTTGCTGCTGTTGATGTTCATGTTGTGTTGCTGCTCATGTTGTTGCTGCTCATGCTGCTGCTGCTGCTGCTGTTGCTCATGCTGTTGCTGCTGTTGCGTTGCTGCTGTTGCTGCTATGCTGCTGCTGCTGTTGCTGCTCTGCTGCTGCTGTTGCTGCTGCTGCTGCTGCTGCTCATGCTGCTGCTGTTGCTGCTGCTGTGTTGCTGTTGCTGTATGCTGCTGCTCTTGCTGCTGTTGCTGTTGCTCATGCTGCTGCTGCTGCTGCTGTTGTTGCTCCTCGTGCTGCTGCTCATGCTGCTGCTCTGCTGCTGCTGCTCATGCTGCTGTTGCTCATGCTGTTGCAGTCCATGCTGTTGTTGCTATGCTGCTGCTGTTCGTGCTGCTGCTGCTGGTCATGTTGCTGTTGTTTGCTGTTGTTGCTCTGCTGTTGCTGCTCATGTTGTTGCTGCTCATGCTGTTGTTGCTCATGTTGCTGTTGCTGTTCATGTTGCTGCTGCTGTTGCTTCATGTTGTCTGCTGTTGTTCATGTTGCTCATGCTGCTGTTGCTGCTGCTGCTCATGTTGCTGCTGTTGCTGCTTGCTGCTGTGTTGCTGCGTTGCTGTTGCTGCTCATGCTGTTGTTGCTCCTGTTCATGCTGTTGCTGCTGCTGGTTGTCTCTGCTGCCGTTGCTGCTCATGCTGCTGCTGTTGCTGCTGCTGCTGTTGTTCATGCTGTTGCTGCTGCTGTTGTTGCTGCTGCTGCCGTTGTCGCTGGTTGCTGTTGCTCATTGCTGCTGGTTGCCGTCTCATGCTGCTGTTCTGCTGCTTGCTGGTTGCTGCTGTTGCTGCCCTGCTGTTGCTGTTCATGCTGGTTGTTGCTGCTGGTGTTGCTGTTCATGCTGCCGCTGCTGCTGTTGCTGCTGTTCCGCGTTGCTGTCTTCATGCTGCTGCTTCCTGTTGCCGTTCTGTTGCCGTTTGGTTGCTGTTCATGTTGCTTGTTGCTGTGGCTTGTCCGATATGTTGCTCATGTTGTTGCCGGTTGCTGGGCTGCTCATGCTTGCTGTTGTTGCTCATGCTGCTGGTTGCTGCTCATGCTGTTGCTGTTGCTGCTTACGTTGCTGTTGTTGCTGCTGATGCGTTGCTGTTGCTGTTGCTGCTGCCGCCGCTGTTGCTGTTCTGCTGCTGTTGCTGTTGCTGCTGTTGCTGGTTCATGTTGCTGCTCATGCTGTTGTTGCTGTTGTTGCCCAGCTGTTGCTGCTGTTCATGCTGCTGGGTTGCTGTTCCTGCTGTTGTTGCTTCGCTTGTTGTTGCTGTTGTTGCTGCTGCTGTTGCTGTTGCTGTTCATGCTGTTGGTTGCTGTGTTGTTGCTGCTGCTTGCTTGTTGTTGCTGTTTATGCTGTTGTTGCTGGTTATTGCTGTTGCTGGCTTGGCTGCTGTTGCTGTTGTTGCTGTTGCTGGCGTTGTTCATGCTGTTGTTGTTCATGCTGGGTTGCTGTTTGCTGCTGTTCGGCGTTGCTTTCGCTGCTGTCGGTTGCTGCTGTTCATGTTGCTGTTGCTGTCGTTGCTGCTCATGCTGTTGCTGTGGTTGCTGTTGGTTGCTGGTTGCTGTTGCTTATGCTGTTGCTGGTTGCTGCGTTGCCGCCGGCGCTGCTGTTGCCGTTCATGCTGTCGTTGCTCATGCTGTTGCTGGCTGGCGGTTGTTGCTTGCCGGCGCTTGTTGCTGTTCTGCTGGTTGCTTGCTGCTTATGTTGTTGCTGTTGCTGTTTATGTTGCTGCTGTTGTTGCTTGCTCCGTTGCTGCTGTTGCTGTTGTTGCTGTTCATGCTGGTTGCTGGCTGTTGCTGGGTTGCTGCCGTCTGCGTTGCTGCTGTTGCTGTCATGCTGGTTGCTGTTGTTGTTGCTGCGTTGTTCTATGCTGCTGGTTGCTGCTGCTTTGCCATGCGCTGTTGGTTGCTGTTGTTGCTGTTCGCGTTGTTGTTGCTGTTGTTGCTGTTGCTGCTGCTGTTGCTGGTCTTTGCTGTTCGTTGCCGCTGTTCATGTTGCTGCTGCTGTTGCTGCTGTTGCTGTTGCTGTTGCTGCTGTTGCTGCGCCGGCGTTGTCTCATTGCGTTGTTGCTGCTGCCTGCTGCTGCTGCCCATGCTGTTGCTGTTCATGCTTGCTGCTTGTTGGGTTGCTGGTCGCATTGCTGCTGTTTGCTGTTTCCTGGTTGCTGTTCGTGTTGTTGCTCTTGTTGCTGTTGCTTCTGCTGGTTGTTGTCTGGCGTTGTTGTTGCTGTTGGCGCTGCTGCTGTTTGGTTTGTTGCTGTTGTTGCTGCTGCTGCTGCTGCTTGCTGCTGTTGCTGGTTGTCATGCTGTTTAGTCGATCTGCGTTTGCTGGTTGCTGTTGCCGGTTCATGCCGGTTGTCGGCTGGTTCATGCCGTTGCTGGTTCATGCTGCTGTTGCTGCTGCCGTTGCTCATGCTGCTGCTGAGGGTTGTTGCTGTTGCTGTGTTGTTGTTTTTGCTGGTTGTTGCTTGCTGTTGCTGGTGGTGCAGCGAGTGGTTGCTGCTGTTGTTGCTTGCTTGCTGGTGGCAGTGAGCGTTGCTTTGCCAGGCGTGCAGTGAGCGTTGCTTGCTGTTGCTGGCAGCAAGTGCTTGCTGGCGGCTGCAGTGAGCGCTCATTGTTGCTTGTTGCTGGTGGTGGCTGAGTGTTGGTTGGTTGCTGGCGGCGGCAGTAGTGAGTGTTTGTTGTTGTTGTTGGTGGTGGCAGTGAGTGTTGTTGGTTGCTGGTGGTGGTGAGGTTGCTGTTGCTGGTGGTGGTGAGTGCTGTTGTTGCTGTTGGTGGTGGGTAGTGGCGTTGTTGTTGCTTGCTGGTGGTAGTGAGTGCTGTTGTTGTTGCTGTTGGCTGTTGGTTGCTGTTGCTGGTGGTGCGGAGCGTTGTTGCGTTGCTGGTGGTGGCAGTGAGTGCTGTTGTTGTTGTTGCTGCGGTGCAGTGAGTGGGTTGGTTCTGCTGGCTGGTAGTGAGTGTTGTTGGTGTTAGTGGAGTGTTGCTGTTGTTGCTGGTGGTGGCAGTGAGTGTGCTGGTGGTGTGAGCGTTGTTGGTGCTGGTGAGCGTGTTGTTGCTGTTGCTGGCAGGTGAGCGTTGGTTGGTGCTAGTGAGCGTTGTTGGTTCTGGCGTTGCTGTTTGGTTGCTGTTGCAGGCGAGTGCTGGTTGCTGGTGGCTGGTGGCGGCAGTGAGGTTGGCTTCGTTTGCGGCTGGCAGTGAGTGTTGTGTTGTTGTTGCTGGCTGTTGCTGGTTGGTTGCTGCTGGTGGTGAGCGTCATTGCTGTTGGTTGTGAGTGCTTGCTTGCTGGTTGGTGGCAGTGGAGTGTTGCTTGCCGCTGTTGCTGGCGTGAGTGCTGCTGGTGGCAGGTGAGTGCTGTTGCTGGTTGCTGCTGGTGGTGAGTGCTTGCTGGTGTTGGTGAGTGCTGGTTGCTTGCTGGTTGGTTGCTTGCTGTTGGTGCAGGCAGTGGAGTGCTGGGTTGCTGCTGGTGCTGAAAGGAGTGCTGCTGTTGCTGTTGGTAGTGAGTGCTGGTTGGTGTTAGTGAGTTGCTGGTTGCTGGTGGTGGTGGGAGGCTGGCGTAAGAGTGCTGTTGGTTATTGTGCTGTTGCTGGTGGCAGTGGGGTTGCTGCTGGTGGCAGTGGAGCGCTGGTTGCTTTGGTTGGCAGTGGAGTGCCGTGCTGTTGCTTGCTGTCGGTGTGGTGAGCGCTGTGCTGGTTGCTGGTGGTGGTAGTGAGCGTTGTTGGTTGGTTGTTGCTGGTGAGTGAGTGCCGGTTGCTGGTTGGCGGTGGCAGCGAGCGTTGTTGTTGTTGTTGTTGCTGGTGGTAGTGAGTGCTGTTGCTGTTGGTTGGTTGTTGTTCGGTTGCTGGCTGGTGGTGGTAGTGAGTGCTGTTGTTGCTGCTGGTAAGTGTTGCGGTGTCAGTGGTTGTTGCTGGGTTGCTGGTGGTGGCAGGAGCGCTGTTGGTGCTGTGAGGTTGCTGTTGCTGCTGTTGCTGGTTGCGGTGGTGGAGGCTATTGCTGGTAGTGAGGTTGTTGTTGCTTGCTGGTGAGTGCTGTTGCTGGTTGCTGCTGGTGGTGGCAGGATATTGGTTGCTGGTGGTGGAAGCGGAGTGCTGTTGGCGTTGCGGCAGGTGAGTGCTGGTTGCTGTTGGTGAAGGTTGTCGCTTGCTGGTAGTGATGCTGGTTGTTGCTTGCTTGCTGGTGGCAGGAGGCTTGGTTGGCGGTAGTGGAGGTTGCCGTTGGTTGGTGGCAGTGGCGCTGCCGTTGCTGGCGCGGCGAGGTTGCTGGTTGTTGCTGGTGGCGGGTGGTGGGCTGTTGCTGGTTGGTTGGCAGGTAGTGGTTGTTGGCGTGTTGGCGTGGCGAGCAAGCGTCTTGGTTGCTGCAGGAGTGTTGTTGTTGTTGGTGGTGAGTGTTGGTTGTTGTTGGCTGGTAGTGATTGTTGCTGTTGTTGCGGTAGTGGAGTGGGTTGTTGGTTGCTGGTGGTAGTGAGTGCTGGTTGTTGTTGCTGTGTGGTGCTGCTGGTTGTTGTTGCTGGTGTGGTGAGTGCTGGTTGCTGGTGGTGGTGGTAGTGAGCGCAGTTGCTGCCGGTGGCAGTGAGTGCTGGTTGTTGCGTGGCGGTGGAGTGTTGCTGGTTGCTGGTGGTGCAGGGGAGTGTTGCTGGTTGCTGCTGGTGGTAGTGTGCTGTTGGTTGTTGCTGGTTGTTTCGTTGTTGTTGCTGGCAGGTAGCGAGTGCTGTTGCTGGTGGTGCAGGTGGCAGTGAGTCTGTTTGCGGTGCAGTTGGCCGTCGTTGTTGTTGTTGCTGGTGGTGGTGGTGAGCGTTGCTGGTTGCTGGCAGTGAGCGCTGCTGTCGGCTGCTTGCTGGTAGGAGTGCTGTTGCTGGTTGCTGTTGCTGGCAGTGTGAGTGCTGCTGGTTGCTGGGCGGCAGTGAGTGAAGGTTGTTGCTTGGTTGTTGGTTGCAAGGTGGCAGTGATTGCTGGTTTGCTGGCGGTGGTTGAGTGCTGGTTGTTGCTGGTGAGCGTTGCTTGCTGGTTGCTGGTGGCGATGCGTGATTGGTTGTGGAGTGTTGCTGTGTTGCTGGAGTGAGGTTGGTTGCTGCTGGTGGTAGTGAGTGGCTGGCGCTTGCTGGCAGTGAGTGCTGGGTTGTTTGCTTGCTGGTGGTGGTGAGCGTTGCTGTTGCGGTGGCGGAAGTGAGCGCTGTCAGGCTAGTGGTAGTGAGTGTTGTTGCTGCTGTTGCTGGTGGTGCGGCGGTGACTGCTGGTTGCTGCTTGCTGGTGCAGGCGTGGAGTGCTGTTGCTGCTGGTAGTGTAGGCGCTGGTTGGGTTGCTGGTGTTGCTTGCTGGCGGTGGGATGCTGGTTGCTGGTGCGGTGGTGGCGTTTGCTGCTGCTGCGTAGTGGAGCGGTTATTGTTGTTGCTGTTGTTGTTGGCGGTGGCAGTGAGTGCTGGTTGTTTGGTAGTGAGTGCTGGTTGCTGTTGCTGTTGGTAGTGAGTGCTGGTTGCTTGGTTGCTGGTGGTAGTGAGGTTGCTTGGCTGCGATTGCTGTTGGTTGCTGTTGGCGGCAGTGGAGTGCGGTTTGCGTTGCGTTTGCTGGCAGTTGCTGTTGCTGTTGTCAGAGTGAGTGTTGTTGTTGTTGTTGCTGGTGGTAGTGGCGCTGGTTGCTGCTGGTGGCAGGTGAGTGCTGGTTGTTGCTGCGGTGGTGTGAGTGCTGCTGCTGGTTAAGCGGTTGCGGCGGCGTCGGTTGGTGCTGCCGGTGCGGTGAGTGCTGGCTGTCGGTGGTGGTGGTGGAGGCTGGTTGTTGCTGGTGGTAGTGAGGTTGTTGTTGTTGGTGGTAGTGAGTGCTGGTTATTGCTGGTTGGCTGGTAGTGATTGCTGCTGCTGTTGTTGCTGGTTGGTGGTAGTGAGCGTTGTTGCTGTTTGCAGTGGCAGTGAGCGTTGTTGTTGGTGGCAGTGAGTGCTGTTGTTGCTGGCAGTGAGTGCGTTGCTGTTGTTGGCGTAGAGTGCGTGGCGCTGCTGCCGAGCGATCATTGGTGCTGTTGCTGTTGCTGGTGCAGTGAGCGCTGGTTGTTGCTGGTGGGAGGGGAGTGCTGGTTGTTGCTGCTGGCGGGTGGCGGTGATGTTGTTGCTGTTGGTTGCTGGTAGTGACTGGTTGGCTGGTTGCAGGTAGTGAGCGTTGCTTGGTTGCTGGTGGTGGTGCAGGAGTGCTGGTTGTTGTTGGCTGGCGGTAGTGAGCGCTGGTTGGTGCTGGCGAGTGTTGCTTGGTTGCTGGTGGCAGTGAGTGCTGTTGCTGTCTCGGCAGTGAGTGGTTGCTGGGTTGCTGCGGCGTGTTATGCTGCTGCGCAGTGGAGCGGGTTGCTTGCTTGGCTGGTGCTAAAGCGAGTGTCGGTTGTTGCTGGCGGTGGTGAGTGTTGCTGTTTGCTGGTGGTAGTGGAGTGCTGTTGTTGCTGGTGGCAGGTGAGCGTTGGCGGTGTGCTGGCTGGTGGTGAGCTGGTTGGTTTGCTGTTTGGTGGAGGAGTGCTGCTGTTGCTGCTTGGTGGTAGTGAGTGCTGGTTGTTGCTGCTGGTGTAGTGAGTGCTGGTTGGCTGGTTGGTTGGTGGTGAGCGGTTGCTGGTTGGCAGGCAGAGAGGTTGTTGCTGGTGGTAGTGAGGGTTATTGCTTGCTGGTGGTGGTGGCGGCAGTGAGTGTCGTTGCTGGTTGCTGGTGGTGGTGGTAGCGAGTGCTGGTTGGTTGCTGCTGGTGGTGGTGAGTGCTGTTGGTGGCAGGTGAGTGTTGTTGTTGTTGGTTGGTGGGGAGTGCTGTTGCTGGTGGTGGTAGTGGAGGTTGGTTGTTGCTGGTGGTGGAGAGGGTTTGGGTGGTGGTGGTGGCGGTAGTGAGTGCTGTTGCTGTTGTTGTGGTGGAGTGAGCGTTGTTGCTGTTGGTGGTGGTGGTGAGTGTTGTTGCTGGTGGTGGTGGTAGTGAGTGCTGGTTGTTGCTGTTGGTGGTAGCAGAGTGCTGTTGTTGGTTGCTGGTGGTGCAGTAGTGAGTGTTGTTGCTGGTTGCTGGTTGCTGGTGGTGCGAGTGCTGGTTGGTTGCTGGTGGTGGTGGTGAGTGCTGGTTGTTGCTGTTGTTGCTGTTGGTGGTGCGGAGTGCTGTTGTTGCTGTTGGTGGTGGTGAGGTTGCTGTTGCTGGTTGCTTGTTGGTGGTGGTAGTGGCGCTGGTTGTTGGTTGCTGTTTGCTGGTGGTGGTGAGCGTTGGCTGGTTGCTGGTGGTGGTGAGCGCCTTTGTTGTTGGTGGTGGTAGAGTGAGTGTTGTTGGTTGGTTGGTGGCAGTGACGTCGTTGTTGGTAGTGAGTGTTGCTGGTGGTGAGCGTTGTTGTTGCTGGTGGTGAGTGTTGTTGCTGTTGGCAGGTGAGCGCTGTTGGCGGTGGTAGTGAGGTTGGTTGCTGGTGGTGGTGAGGTTGTTGCTGGTGGCAGTGAGTGCTGGTTGGTTTCTTGCTGGCGGTGAAAGAGTGTTGTTGCTGGCGGTGGGGGTTGCTGCTGGTGGCAGTGAGTGCTGTTGTTGGCGGTGGTGGCGGAGTGCTGGTTGTTGGTGGTGCAGGCAGTGAGTGCTGGTTGCTGGTCGCTGCGGTAGTGGGTGTTGCTGGTTGCTGGCGGTGGTGGAGAGTGTTGGTTGCTTTTGCTGGTGGCGGTGAGTGCTGTTGTTTGCTGGTGGTGGCAGGGAGTGCTTGGTTGTTGGTGGCGGCAGTGAGAGTGCTGTTGCTGGGCGGTGGTGGAGAGCGTTGCTTTGTTGCTGGTGGTGGCAGTGAGCGCTTGCTGGTTGCTGTTGGTGGCAGTGAGCGTTGCTGGTTGGTTGTGGGGCGGTGGTGAGCGTTGTTGTTGCTGGTGGTGCAGGCGAGTGCTGTTGTTGCTGGTGGCGGCAGTGAGAGTGTTGCTGTTGCTGGCGGTGGCAGGTTGCTGGTGGTGGTGGCAGTGAGTGCTGGTTGTTGGTTGTTGGTGGCAGTGAGTGCTGGTTGGTTGGTTGGTTGCTGGTTGCGGTGGTGGCGGTGAGTGGCTGGCGGCAGGTGGTGGCAGTGAGCGTTGTTGCTGGTGGTGGTGGTGAGTGTTGCTGTTGGTGGTGGTGGCAGTGAGCGCGGTTGCTTGCTGTTGGCGGTAGTGAGTGCTTGCTGTTGGTGGTGGCGGTAGTGAGTGCGCTGGTTGTTGTTGCTGGTGGTGGTGAGTGCTGGTTGTTGCTGGCTGGTGGTGGTAGCGAGTGCTGGTTGCTGGTGGTGGTGGTGAGTGCTGGTTGTTGCTTGCTGGCAGTGAGTGCTGGTTGCTGGTGGCAGTGAGTGCTGTTGCTTGTTGCTGGCGGTAAAGTGATGCTGTTGTTTGCTTGGCGGTGGCGGCAGTGATATTGGTTGTTGTTGTTGGTGGCGAGTGTTGCTGCTGTTGTGGCGGTAGTGAGTGCTGGTTGTTGCGCGGCGAGCGTTGTTTGTTGCTGGTTGGTCGGCAGTGAGTGTTGTTGCTGGTGGTGGTGGCGAGTGCTGTCATTGCTGGTGGTGGCGGCAGTGAGCGCTGGTTGTTGCTGGCGGCAGTGAGTGTCAGGTTGCTGTTGGCAGTAGTGAGTGCTGTTGCTGGTTGCTGGTGGCGGGTGGTGGCGCTGGTTGCTGCTGGTGGTGGTGGCAGTGAGGCTGTTGTTGTTGCTTGTTGGTGGCAGTGGAGTGCTGTTGCTGGTTGGTAGTGAGCTGCTGCTGCTGGTGCGGTGGGTAGTGAGCGTTGTTGCTGTTGTTGGCGGTAGTGGAGTGTTGGTTTGCTGTTGGTTTGGTTGTTGTTGCTGGTGGCAGGAGTGTTTGTTGCTGTTTGTTGGCGCTGGTTGCTGGTGGCGGCAGTGGAGTGTCGTTGCTGTCGGTGGCGGCAGTGAGCGTCTTGTTGGTTGGTAGTGAGCGCTATTGCTGGTTGCTGGCAGTGGGTTGGTTGCTGCTGCTGGTGGCAGTGAGGTTGGTTGTTGTTGCTGGTAGTGGTGGTGAGTGTTGTTGTTTGCTGGTGGCGGTGGTAGTGAGCGTTGGTTGCTGGTTGGTTGGTGGCGGTGGTAGCGTGGCAGCTGTTGTTGCTGGCAGGTGAGCGCTGTTGGTTGTTGCTGGCTGGCAGGTGAGTGTTGGTTGCTTGTTGTTGCTGGTGGTGGTGAGTGCTGTTGTTGCTGGTGGTGGTGGCAGAGCTGTTGTTCGTTGCTGGTAGTGGAGTTGCTGGTTGGTGGCGGTGGCAGAGCGTTGTTGTTGTTGGTGGCAGTGGTGCTGTTGTTGCTTGCTGGTAGTGAGCGTTGGTTGCTGCTGGTGGTAGTGAGCGTTGTTTCGTTGTTGCTGGCGGCAGTGAGTGTTGCTGGTTGCTGGTGGAGGGAGTGCTGGTTGCTGCTTGCTGGTGGTGGCGGTGAGTGCTGCTGGTTGGTGCTGGTGGCAGTGAGCGGTTGCTGTTTGCTTGCTGGTGGCAGCAGAGCGGCTTGTTGCTGTTGGTGGTGGCGGAGTGTTGTTGCTGGTTGCTGGCGGCGGCAGTGAGCGGGTTGGTTGCTGTTGCTGCTGGTGGTGGTGGCAGTGAGCGCTGGTTGTTGTTGTTGTTGCTGTTGTTGCTGGTTGGTGGTGGTGTAGCGTCAGCTGTTGCTGGTGGTGGCAGTGAGTGCTGGTTGCTGGCGGTGAGTGCTGTTGTTGTTGTTGCTGGTGGTGGTAGTGGAGTGCTGTTGTTGGTGGTGGGTGAGCGCTGGTTGCTGTTGTTGGTGCAGGTAGTGGAGTGCTGTTGCTTGCTTGTTGGTGGTGCGGGCAGTGGAGTGCTGTTGCTGTTGGTGGCGGTGAGTGCTGTTGTTGTTGTTGGTGGTGGTGGTAGTGGAGGTTGTTGTTGCTGGTAGTGAGTGCTGTTGTTGCTGTTGCTGTTGGTGGTGGCGCTGGTTGGTTGCTTGTTGCTGGTGGCAGTGAGTGCTGTTGCTGTTGCTGTTGCTGGCAGGTGGTGGTGGTGGCAGTGAGTGTTGTTGTTGTTGGTGGTGGTAGTGAGGCTGGTTGTTGTTGCTGGTGGTAGTGAGTGCTGTTGTTGCTGGTGCAGGTGAGTGCTGGTTGCTTGCTGGTGGCAGTGGAGTGCTGCTGTTGCTTGCTGCTGGTAGTGACTGGTTGGTTGGTTGCTGTTGGTGGTTGGTGAAGGAGGTTGGTTGTTTGCTGGTGGCAGTGAGCGTTGGTTGCTGTTGTTGCGGCAGTGGAGTGCTGGTTGCTTGCTGGCAGGAGCGTCAGTTTGCTGGTGGGTAAGCGGGAGCGGTTGCTGGTTGCTGGTGGCGGTGATGCGTTGTTTGCGCTGGTGGTGGTGAGTGTTGCTGTTGCTGTTGCTGGTGGAAGTGAGTGCTGCTGTTGTTGCTGCTGGTGCAGTGAGCGTTGTTGCTGGTTGCTGGCAGTGATGTTGTTGCTGTTGCTGGTGGTGGTGAGGTTGCTTGCTGTTGGTGGCGGTGAGGTTGGTTGCTGTTGGTGGCAGTGAGGGCTGGTTGCTTGCTGGTGCTGGTGGTGGTGAAGGAGCGCTTGTTGTTGCTGGTGGTGGTGGTAGCGTGAGTGCTGGTTGCTTGCTGCTGGTGCAGGTGAGTGCTGGTGGTGGTAGTGGAGCGTTGTTGTTGCTGCTGGTGGTGGTGAGTGTTGTTGTTGGTGGTGGTGGTAGTGAGTGCTTGCTGTTGCTGGTGGCAGGAGTGTTTGCTTGGTGGCAGGAGTGCATTGGTGGTGGCGGTGGCAGTGAGTGGGTTGTTGTTGGTTGTTGCTTGGTAGTGAGGCTGGTTGGCTGGTGGTGGGTGAGTGCTGTTGCTGGTGGTGGTGGCAGTGGAGTGTTGCTGGTTGCTGGTGGTAGTGAGCGTGGTTTGGTTGCTGCGGTGGTAGCTGAGTTGCTGTTGCTGTTGTTGGTTGTTGCTGGTAGTGGAGTGCTGGTTGTTGCTTGGTGGTGGCGGTGGCGAGTGCTGTTTGCTGGCTGGTTGTTGGTGGCAGGAGGTTGCTTGTTTGCTGGTGGTGGTGAGTGCTGCTGTTGTTGCTGGTTGTTGGTGGTAGTGAGTGCTTGCTGGTTGCTTGGTTGTTGCTGGTGGTGGTGGTGCAGTGAGCGTTGGTTGCTTGCTGGCGGTGGTGAGCGCTGTTGTTGCTGGTGGTGTGGTGGGTTGTTGCTGTTTGGTGCGGTGGTAGTGGAGTGGCTGGTTGCTTGCTGGTGGCAGGAGTGCTGGTTGCTGGTGGTGCAGTGGAGTGTTGCTGTTGCTGGTGGTGGTGGTGAGTGCTGGTTGCTGGTAGTGGAGCGTTGCTTGCTTGGTTGGTGGCGGTGAGTGTTGTTTGGTGGCAGTGAGTTGGTTGCTGGTGGTGCAGGTGAGTTGCTGGCTGGTGTGAGGTTGTTGTTGGCGGTGCAGGAGCTGGTTGCTGGTAGTGGAGGTTGGTTGCTGGCGGTGGCAGGAGCGGGTTGCTGGTTGGCGGTGGTGGAGTGCTGGTTGCTGGTGGTGGCGGCAGTGAGGCTGTTGCTGTTGCTGGCAGCGAGTGCTGTTGCTTGCTGGTGGCGGTGGTAGTGAGTGCTGTTGCTGTTGCTTCGGTGGCGGTGAGCTTGGCTGGTTGCTGGTGGTGCAGTGGAGGTTGCTGGTTGGTGGTGCGAGCGTGAGCGTTGTTGCTGGTTGCTGGCGGTGGTGGTGAGTGTTGTTGCTTGCTGGTGGTGGTGGCAGTGAGCTTGCTGGTTGCTTGCTGGTGGTGGCAGTGAGGCTGGTTGCTGGTTGGTTGTTGGTGGTGCGGCGAGTGGCTGTTGGTTGCTGGTGGTGGTGGAGGTTGCTGGTTTGCTGGCGGTGCGGCAGTGAGTGCTTGCTTGGTTGCTGGTGGTGGCAGAGCGCTGGTTGCTGGTTGGCGGTGGTGGCGAGTTGTTGCTGTTGCTGGCAGTGAGCGTTGTTGCTGGTTGGGTTGCTGGCGGTGGGTGAGCGCTGTTGTTGCTGGTGGTGGCAGTGAGTGTTGGTTGCTGGTGGTGGTGGAGTGTTGTTGCTGGTGGTGGTAGGAGTGTTGTTGTTGCTGGTGGTAGGCAGTGGAGTGTTGTTGCTGGTGGTGGTGGTGAGTGCTGTTGTTGCTTTGGTGGTGAGTGCTGTTGCTGGTGGTAGTGGAGGTTGTTGCTGGTGGTGGTGTGGTGGAGTGCTGGTTGCTGTTGGTGGTAGTGAGTGTTGCTGTTGTTGGTGGCGGTGAGTGCTGCTGTTGTTGTTGGCGGTAGTGGAGTGTTGCTGGTTGTTGGTGCAGGTGAGTGAGTGTTGCGTTGCTGGTGGCAGGAGTGTTGTTGTTGTTGTTGGTTGCAGTGAGTGCTGTTGTTGGTGGTGAGTGTTGTTGTTGTTGGTTTGCTGGAGTGTTGTTGGTGGTGGTGAGTGTTGGTTGCTGGTTGGTGGTGGTGCGTGAGTGCTGGTTGTTGCTGGCAGGAGGTTGGTTGTTGCTGGTGGCGAGGTTGGTTGGTTGCTGCTGGTGGTGGTGGCGAGGCTGGTTAAGCGGTGGTGGTGGTGGTGGCAGTGAGTGCTGTTGTTGCTTGCTGTTGGGTGGCAGTGAGTGCTGGTTGCTGTTGCTGGTGGTGAGGTTGCTTTTGTTGGTTGCTGGTGGTGGCAGTGGAGCGTTTGGTTGCTGGTTGCTTGGTGCAGTGGGTGAGTGCTGGTTGCTTGTGCTGGTTGGTTGCTTGCTTGCTTGTTGCTGTTGGCTTCGGTGGTGGCGGTGATGAGTGCCGGTTGCTGGTTGCTGGTGGCTGGCGGAGCGTTGCTGTTGGTGCAGAGGAGGCTATTGGTTTTGTTGCTGTTGGTTGGTGGCAGGGTGAGTGCTTGTCTGTTGCTGGCGGTAGAAGTGAGTGCTTGGTTTGCTTGCTGGTGGCGGCGTGGAGCGCTGGTTGCTGGTTGCTGGCGGTAGTGAGTGCTTGCTGCTGGCGGTGGCGGGGAGCGTTGTTTCGGCGGCAGTGGGGGAGTGGTTGTTGCTGGTTGCTGTGGTGGTGCAGAAGTGAGTGTTGCTGGGTTGCTTGCTGGTGGCGGAGTGAGTGTTGCTGGTTGCTGTTGGCAGGCGTTGGTTGGTTTGCTTGCTGTTGGTGGCGGTGGTGGAGTGCTGCTTTCTTTGTTGCTGGTGGTGGTGAGTGAGTGCTGGTTGTTGTTGCTGGTGGCAGTGAGTGCTGGTTGCTGGTTGGTTGGCGGTGAGTGTTGCTTGGTTGCTGGTTGTTGCTGGCGGAGTGGAGTGCTTTGCTTGGCGGTGGCGGTGATGGAGCGCCGCTGGTTGCTTGCTGGCAGGTAGCGAGTGCTGGTTGCTTGCTGCTCGGTGGTGAGCTGAGGTTGGTTGTTGGCGTTTGGCAGAAGTGAGCGGGTTGTTGCTGGTTGTTGGTAGTGAGTGTTGCTGTGGTGAGTGTTGTTGCTGTTGCTGGTGGTGGCAGTGAGTGCTGGTTGCTTGCTGGTGGTGGGGTGGTTAGTGAGCGCTGGTTGTTGCTGTTGGTGCGTGAGAGGTTGGTTGTTGTTGTTGGTAGGAGTGCTGGTTGTTGTTGCTGGTGGTGGCAGTGGAGTGCTGTTGTTGGTTGTTGCTGCTGGCGGTGTGAGGTTGCTGGTTGCTGGTGGTGGTGAGGTGCTGCTTGCTGGTGGTGGGTGGCGTCGTTGCTGGCGGCAGTGAGTGCTGTTGCTGTTGCTGGTGCAGCGAGCGCTTGCTTGCTTGCTGTTGCGGTAGGAGTGCTCGTTGCTTGCTGGCGTTGGTTGCTGGTGGCAGTGCGGAGTGCTTGCTTGCTGGTGGCAGGAGTGCTTGTTGCTGGTTGCTGGTTATTGCTGCTGTCGGCGGTGCGGTGGCGGAGGTTGTTGCTGGTGGTTGCTGAGCAGTTGTCGCTGTTGGTTGGCGGTGAGCGCTGGTTTGTTGGTTGGCTGGTGGTGGCAGTGAGGTTGCTTGTTGGTTGCTGCCTGTTGCTGTTGCTTGTTGTTGCTGGCGGGTGGCAGGAGCGTGCTGCTGCGACTGGTTGCTGTTGCTGGTGGTGGCGGTGGCAGGAGTGCTGGTTGCCGTTGCTGGTGGCAGCGCGAGTGCTGTTGCTGGTGGTGTGGTGGCGGAGTGGTTGCTTGCGTTTGGTGGTGGTGAGCGTTGCTGTTATGCTGGTGGCAGAGTGAGGTTGGTTGCTGGTGGTGGCGGTGAGGTTGTCGTTGTTGCTGGGCGGCAGTGAGGGTCAGTTTGCTGGCGGCAGTGAGCGTCTGTTTGCTTGTGGTTCGGCAGCAGCGAGCATTGGTTGTTGCTGGTAGGCAGTGAGTGCTGGTTGTTGCTAGCTGGTAGTGAGCGTTGCTTGGTTGCTGTTGTGGTGGTAGTGAGTTTGGCGGTGTGTTGGTTGTTGCTGGTTGGTTTGCGGTAGTGAGTGTTGTTGCTGGTGGTGGCGGTGAGCGTTGTTGTTGTTGGTGTGCAGTAGGAGCGTTGCTGTTGGCAGTGGTGAGCGTTGGTTGCCGTTGGCGGTAGTAGTGTTGTTGTTGCCGTTGGTGGTGGTGGTGAGCGTTGTGTTGCTGGGGTGCGGTGGGAGTGTTGCTTGCTTGCTTGCTGCTGGTGGTGGGAGCGTTGTTGCTGCTGGTGGTGCGGTGAGCGTTGCTTGCCGTTGGTGTGGTGGCAGTGAGCGTCGGTTTGGTTGCTGTTGGCGGTAAGTGAGTGCCGGTTGCTTGCTGTGGTTGCTTGCTGGCGGCGGTGAGTGCTTGTCGTTGTTGGTTGGTTTGCCGTCGGTGGCAGCGAGCGGCGTTGTTTGCTGGCGGCTGCGAGCGTAGCTTGCTGCTGGTGGTAGTGATGTTGTTGTTGTTGCTGGTGGCAGTGAGCGTTGTTGCTGGTGCTGGTGGCAGTGAGGCGTTTGTTGTTGCTGGTGGTGGTGGTGAGCGTTGTTGTTGCTGGTGGTGAGTGTTGTTGCTGTTGCTGGTGGTAGTGAGGGTTGTTGTTGCTGGTGGAGTGAGAGTATTGCTGGTTGTTGCTGGTGGTGAGCGTTGTATTGCTGTGCTGGTGGTGGAGCGGTGTTGTTGTTGTGGCGGTGGCGGAGTGCTTGCTGCTGGTTGGGTTGGTGAGGAAGTGAGTGGTTGCTTGCTGGCGGTGGTGGCAGCAGGGGCGGTTGTTGTTGGTGGCAGTGAGCGTTGGTTGCCGCTTGCTGGCGGCGGCGAGCGTCAGTTGTCGTTTGTGCGCAGTGATGCTGTTTGCTTGTTTGCTGGCGGTAGTGAGGTTGGTTGTTGGTGGTAGTGAGTGTCGGTTGTTGCTGGTTGGTGGTGGTGGTGATAGCGTTGTTGGTTTGCTGGTAGGTGGTAGTGAGTGTTGTTGCTGTTGGTGGTGGCGAGCGTTGTCGTTTGTTGCTGTTGGTGGTGAGCGTTGTTGTTGGTTGCTGGTGGTGGCGAGTGTTGTTGTTGCTGTCAGGTTGTTGTTGCTGCTGGCGGTAGTGAGCGCTGGTTTGTTGCTGGCGGTGGTGGCAGTGTTGTTGCTGCAGGTGGTGCGGAGTGCTGGTTGCTTGCTGGCGGTGGCGAGTGGGTTGGTTGCTGTTGTTGCTGGCGGTGGCAGCAGCAGTTATTGGTTGGCGGTGGCAGGCGGTGGGGTTGCTGTCGCTTGGTGGTAGTGAGCGTTGTTGCCGGTTGCTGGTGGCGGCGGCAGTGAGCGTTGGTTGCTTGCTGGTGCAGGCGGAGCGTTGCTGGTTGCTGGTGGTGGCGGTGGCGAGTTGCCGTTTGCTGGTGGGCAGTGAGCGTGTTGCTTGCTGTGTTGGCTGGTGCAGGCGAGCGCTGGCTATTGCTTGTTGTTTGCTGGCGGTGGCAGTGAGTGCTGTTATTGGTGGCGGCGGTGGCGGCGGCGTCATGTTGTTGGCGGGTCGGTTAGGCTGGTGGCAGTGAGTGTTGTTGTGCGGTTGCTGGCGGCAGCAGTGCTGCTGTTGCTGGTGGTGGCGGTGGCGTTGTTGTTGTTGGTGGCAGAGCGTTGCTGGCTGGTGGTGGCGAGTGTTGTTGTTGGTGGTGGCAGTGAGCGTTGTTGCTGGTGGTGGTGAGTGTTGTTGTTGTTGTTGGTGGTGGTGGTGTGAGCGTTGTTGTTGCTGGTGGTGGTGAGCGTTGTTGCTTGCTGGTGTGCGAGTGCTGGTTGCTGTTGCTGGTGGCAGTGAGGTTGTTGCTTGCTGGTGGTGGTGGTGAGTGCTGGTTGCTGGTGGTGCAGTGGAGTGTTGCTGGTTGCTGGTGGCGGTGGTGAGCGTTGTTGTTGGTGGTGGGTGGTAGTGAGTGTTGTTGCTGGTGGTGGTGGTGGGGTGCTGTTGGTTGTGCCAGCGTTGGTGGCGGTAGTGAGCGTTGGTTGTTGCTGGTGGTGGGTGGTGAGTGCTGTTGTTGCTGGTGGTAGTGGCGTTGTTGCTGTTGCTGGTAGTGAGGTTGCTTGCTGGTGGTGGTGAGTGTTGCCGGTTGCTGGTGGCAGTGAGCAGGTTGCTGGTGGTGGCTGGTTGCTGGTGGTGGTGGCAGTGAGTGTTGCTGGCTGGTGGTGTAGTAGTGTTGTTGCTGGTGGTGGTGGTGAGCGTTGTTGCTTGCTGCTGGTGGCGTGAGCGGCGGCGGTTGGCGGTGGCGGTGAGCGGTTGCTGTTGGTTGGTGGTGGTAGTGAGTGTTGTTGTTGGTGGTGGTGGTGGTGGTGAGCGTTGCTTGCTGTGGTGGTGGCAGCGAGTGTTGTTGCTGTTGGTGGTGGTGGTGAGCGCATTGCTGGTTGCTGGTTGGCGGTAGTGCGTCGTTGCTGGTGCGGCGGCGTGAGTGGGGTTGTTGTTGCTGGCGGTGGTGAGTGTTGTTGCTGGTGGCGGCAGTAGCGTTGCTGGTTGTCGGTGGCAGTGAGCGGTTGGTTGCTGGGCAGGAGTGCTTGGTTTTGCTGGCGGGTGAGTGTTGGTTGCTGGTGGTGAGCGTTGGTTGCTGGTGGTGCAGTGAGTGTTGGTTGTTGTTGGTGGTGAGGTTGCTGGCTGGTGTGGTGAAAGGAGGTTGTTGTTGCTGGTGGTGAGTGTTGCTGTTGTTGCTGGCGGCGGAGTGTTGCTTGTTGCTGCTGGTGGTGGTGGCGAGTGCTGGTTGTTGTTGGTGGTGTTGCAGTGAGCGTTGTTGCTGGTGGTGGTGAGAGCGCTGTTGCTGGTGGTGGTGAGTGTTGGTTGTTGTTGGTGGTGGCATTAGCGGCGGCGGTGGCGGTGTTGTCGCTGGTGGTGGGTGAGGTTGGTTGCTCGGTGGTGGTGGTGAGGTTGCTGTTGGTGGCAGTGAGCGTTGTTGTTGTTGCTGGTGGTGAGTGTTGTTGTTGGTGGCGGCTGGAGTGTTGTTGCTGCTGGTGGTGGTGGAGTGTTGCTGTTGGTGGTGGTGGAGTGCTGTTGGTTGGCAGGTGAGGCGGTTGCTTGCTGGTGGTGGTGAGTGCAGGTGAGTGTTGGTTGCTGGCGGTGGCGGTGGTGCTGTTGTTGGCGGTGGCGGAGTGCTGTTGGGTTGGTGGTGGTGAGTGGTTGTTGTGTTGTTGGGTTGCTGCTGGTGGGTGAGTGTTGGTTGTTGGTGGTAGTGAGTGTTGCTGGTTGCGGTGGTAGTGAGTGTTGGTTGGTTGGTGGTGAGTGCTGTTGCTGGTGGTGGTAGTGAGTGGCGGTTGTTGTTGGTGCTGAGGTTGCTGGTTGCTGGTGTGAGCGTTGTTGCTGGTGCAGTGAGTGTTGTTGTTGGTGGTGGTGTGAGTGCTGTTGTTGGTTGCTTGCTGTTCGGTGGTGATCATGTTGCTGGTGGGGAGTGCTGGTTGGTTGCTGGTGGCATGGAGCGTTGTTGTTGTTGGTGGGTGGTGAGTGTTGCTGCTGTTGGTGGTGGCATTGGTTGTTGTTGGTGGCAGTGAGTGTGGTTGCTGGTTGTTGGGTGGCGTGAGGTTTGTTGTTGGTGGCAGTGAGTGCTGTTGCTGGTTGGTTTGAGTGAGGTTGTTGGTTGCTGGTGGTGGTCAGAGTTGCTTGCTGCTGGGGTGGCGGCAGTGATCGCTGTGGTTGGTTGCTGGCAGTGAGCGTCGTTGTTTGTTGTTGCGTGGTGGTGAGTGCTGGTTGTTGGTGGTGGCGGTGAGTGCTGTTGCTGGTGGTGGTGGAGTGTTGCTGTTGGTGGTGAGTGCTGGTTGTTGCAGTGATTGCTGCTGGTGGTGGCGTGAGTGCTGTTGCTGGTGGTGGTAGTGAGTTGTTGTTGTTGTTGGTGGTGGTGAGTGGTTGCTGTTGCGGTGGTGAGGTTGTTGCTGGTGGTGGCGTGAGTGTTGCTTCGTTGTTGCGGTGGCAGAGCGGGGTTGGTTGTTGTTGCTGGTGGTGGTGAGTGCTGTTGCTGCTGGTGGTGGGAGAGGCGTTGCTGTTGCTTGCTGGTGGTGGTGGGAGCGTTGGTTGCTGGTGGTGGTGGCAGTGAGTGCTGTTGGTGGTGGTGGTGAGTGTTGTTGCTGGTTGTTGGTGGCAGGTGAGTGCTGGGTTGTTGGTGGTAGTGAGTGCTGTTGTTGCTGGCTGGCGGCAGTGAGGTTGGTTGTTGGTGGTGGTGGAGAGGTTGTCTGTTTTTTGTTGGGTAGAGGTTGTTGGTTGGTGGGAGTGTTGCTGGTTGGTGGTGGTGGTGAGCTTGTTGCTTGCTGGTGGTGAGTGTTGTTGCTGGCGGTGGCTTAGCTGTTGCTGGTGGTGAGTGTTTGTTGCTGGTTGTTGGTGGTGGTAGTGAGCGCTGGTTGCTGGTGAGTGTTGCGTGAGCGCCGGTGGTGAGCGTTGTTGTTGTTGGTGGTGGTGGTAGTGAGTGCTGTTGTTGGTGGTGGTGAGCGTTGGTGGCGGTGAGTGCTGTTGTTGCTGTTGCTGGTGGTGAGCGTTGGTTGCTTGCTGGTGGTGGCGGTGGTGGTGAGTGTTGTTGTTGGTGGTGGTGAGTGTTGTTGTTGGTGGTGGGTGAGTGCTGGTTGCTGTTGGTGGTGAAGTTGCTGTTGCTGGTGGTGGTGAGCGGCTGGTTGTTTGGTGGTGGTGGACGAGTGTTGGTTGTTGCTGGTGGTGGTGGTGAGGTTGCTGGTGGGTGGTGGCTGTTGCTGGTGGTGGTGGTGAGGTTGTTGTTGCTGGCGGTAAGTGCGGTGGTGGAGTGCTGGTTGTTGGTGGTGGTGGTGGTGCTGGTTGCTGTTGGTGGCGGTGGCGGAGTGCTTGTTTGCTGGTTGCTGGTGGTGGGTTGTGGTTGGTGGTGGGTGGCTGTTGTTGCTGGTGGGCGGTGTGCTGGCTTGTTGGTGGTGGTGGTGAGTGTTGGTTGTTGGTGGTGGTGAGTGTTGGTTGCTGGTGGTGGTGGTGAGTGTTGTTGTTTCTGGTGGTGGTGGGTGAGGTTGCTGTTGTTGGGGTGTGGTGGTGGTGTGTTGCTTGTGGTGGTGAGTGTGGTGTTGGTTGCTGGTGGTGGTGGAGTGGGTTGTGTGGTGGTGGTGAGGTTGTTGTTGTTGGGTGGTGGTGAGTGCTGTGGTTTTTGGTGGTTAAGGATGGTTGTTGGTTGTTGTTGGTGGTGGTGGTGGTGGTTGTTGTTGTTGGTGGTGGTGGTGGAGTGCTGGTTGTTGGTGGTGGTGGTGGTGGCGGAGGTAGGTTGCTGGTGGTGGTGGTGGTGAGTGCTGTTGTTGGTGGTGGTGGCGGTGAGCGTTGGTTGTTTGTTGGCGGGCGGAGTGGTCATTGTTTGGTGGTGGTGGTGGTGAGTGTTGGTTGTTGGTTGGTGGTGGTGTGGGCTGGGTTTTGGTGGTGGTGGCGGTGATTGCTTGTTGCTTGGTTGGTGGTGGAGGTTGTTGGCGGTGGTGGCAGTTGGTTGTTGTTGGTGGTGGTGGGTGAGTGTTGTTGGTGGTGGTGGTGGTGAGTTGGTGGTGGTGGTGGTGGTGAGTGTTTGTTGGTGGTGGTGGTGAGCGTTGTGGTTGTTGGTGGTGGTGGGTGAGTGTTGGTTGTTGGTGGTGGTGGTGTGTTGTTGTTGTTTGGTGGTGGTGAGTGTTGCTTGGTAGTGGGTGGAGTGTCATTGTTGCTGGATTGCGGTGAGTGTTTGTGGTTGGTTGGTGGAGAGGTTGCTTGGGGTGGTGGCGGTGGAGCGCTGGTTGTTGGTGGTGGTGGCGTTTGTTGTTGGTGGTGAAAGGGTGTTGGTTGTTGTTGGTGGTGAGTGTTGTTGCTGGTGGTGGTGGTGAGTGTTTGTTGGTTGGTGGTGGTGAGCGGTTGTTGCTGGTGGTGAGTGCTGTTGGTGGTGGTGAGTGCTGGTTGTTGGTGGTGGTGAGTGCTGTTGGTGGTGGTGAGTGGTTGTTGTTGCTGGTGGTGGAGGAGTTGTTGCTTGTTGTTGCTGTTGCTGGTGCTGGTGAGCGTCATTGCTGCTGGTTGCTGGTGAGCGTTGTTGTTGTTGCTTGTTTGTTGTTGGTTGCTTGTTGCTGGCGGTGGAGGCGGACGATGCTTGTTGCTTGCTTGTTGTTGGCTTGCTTGTTGTTCGTTGGTGGCGTGGTGGTGGCGGAGTGCTGTTGTTGGTTTGTTGTTGGTGGTGGTGGTGGAGTGCTGATGCTTGGTTGGTGGTGGTGTGGCGAGGTTGCTGGTGATGGAGGTGAGTGTTGTTGCTGTTGTTGGTGGCGGTGGTGGAGTGTTGGTTGCTGGCTGGTGGTGGTGGTGAGTGCTGTTTGGCTGCTGTGGTGTGAGAGCGGTTGTTGTTGCTGGTGGTGGTGGTGAGTGCTGTTGCTGGTGGTGGTGGTGAGTGTTGTTGTTGCTGGTGGTGGTGGAGTGCTTGTTGTTGCTGGTGGTGGTGGTGAGTGCTTGTTGTTGTTGGTGGTGGTGGTGAGCGTTGTTGTTGGTTGTTGGCGGTGGGTGGGTGATGGTTGTTGTTGTTGGTGGTGGTGGAGTTGTGTTGTTGCTGATTT